CTCCCCTTGATTCTACATTATGGTGAGTTGTATAAGTATTTCATTGTATGTTATAATAATAATAGAAATAAAGTGCACAATAAATGTAATATTCTTGAATCATCCCGAAACCATCTCCCCTCTGCCATCCATGGGAAAACTGTCTTTCACAAAACTGGTCCCTGGTGCCAAAAACGCTGGGGACCGCTGGAGTGCAGTGGCGTGATCTCAGCTCACTGCAATATTTGCCTGTTGGGTTCAAGTGATTCTTTTGCCTCAGCCTCCATAGTAGCTAGGACTACAGGCATGCACTACCATGCCCGGCTAATTTTTGTATTTTTAATAGAGACAGTGTTTCACCTTGTTGGCCAGGCTGGTCTTGAACTCCTGACCTCAAGTGACCCACTCTCCTCGGCCTCCCAAAGTGCTGAGCCATACCACAGTGCTCCGATGCCTCTCTGTGCTACGAATGCTGCAGTCACCTTGTGTCAGGAGGGCATATTTGGAAGGCACTTCAGGCTCATAATGGTTCAATCCTCTCACTTACAGTGGAGGAGCTGGGGCAAAGGGAAAAGGGAAGTGCTCAGGGTCTTGTAGCTTGAGGCAGACAGCCCTACGCCTCCTGCTGCCCACTCTGGCACTTTCCCCACTGCACAGCACTTTTTCTGGGTGACCAGCTAAAACTGTGGGTCCCAAAATGGAGCTGGGGATGGAATGGAGCTTAATGATTATCTCCACCTGCCACCTTATTCTAAGGTGAGGAAACTGAGGCCCAGACATGTGTAAAGTGGTATCTGCCATTCAGACGTTCAGCTGCCCCAGCCTTACCTGCGGGCCTTCTTAGGGAGGATAACTGGCTCACAATGACCAAGTAGAAGGTGGGAAGAAGGCAGGGCAACTTCTCTCCCCCTTAGAATACACATAGATCTTCACGTATGAATCTGCAGACTCAACAGGATTATGCCCCCTCTGCTAGGGAACTCCCACCCAGCTCACTCCATCAAAGCAGTCATGGGATGTGGGGACCACTTGTGTGAGCCTGGGAAGCCAGAGGCCTGGAGGAGGCAGCCAGAAATATCTCTGATTCTCTGCCCCAGGGACCAGACAGGAAGAGGAGGAGGAGATGTGGGGGATGGGTGGGCAGGAGTCCCCACAAATAACTATCCCAGGCCCTCTGCCAGCTTCTCTCTTTCCCCAAGGCTGGATATTGGCTGAATGGCCTGGGATGTCCAGGCAGCAGATATGACAGTCCCAATCTTGGGGACCAGTGGGCTCTCAGTGCTGGGTCTTGACTGTGTCTTTCATCGCTGGTGGCTTTAGTGGTAGGGAGAGGATGATGACTGTTCCCATTTCACAGATGAAGAAAGAAAGGCTTAGAAATGAGCTGAGTTTTTCCTGGGTTATGAATGGGGATGTGGGGCTGAACTGAATGCAAGCCCACTGACCCCAGCTGCCTCTTCTCACCTTCACTAGTCTTGCCTCAGGGCAGGGAAACAGTTGCTTTCTGCTGGGGACAGGGCTGCGGGAAAACTGACTCCCAGGGGCTGGGCTGCTGCATAGTCCTGGGACCATAGTTCCCTCCCAGATGGCCTGTTCCAGACACCTAGTAACTGGCAGACACAACCAGATGGAACCATTGCGTGGCCCTCTCCAGAGAGCAGGAGGGGGAGGGAGCGCAAACCCCTTCTGGCTGAAGTTTGCTCTTGGCTTGATTTTTTCCAAGTCCAGCCCTGCCTTGAGTGGGCTGGGGCTTGTGCACACACCCAGTTTCCACCTTCAGCAGCCAGGCAGTGGTGAGGGGGTCACCCAAGGTGGGGGGGTCATGTTTTCCTGATGCTGGGCTGAGGATCAGCCCTTTTGTCCCACCCCCAAGGCCCCAGTGGGGTGTTGCCTGCAGCTGGGGAGAGTTTCCTCCTCCCGGACACTGAGTGTCCCTCTGGGATTTGGAGAGGACAAGGAACTATCCCGGCTATGGGCAGCCCACAGAGTTCCCAGGGCCTGCTCGACCCCGCACCAACCTCCCTCTCCACTCTGCTTCCCCCACACTGTGCGAGGTTGGGGATGGGGGCAAAGAAAGGAGAAAGGAGCCTGCCTCAGACTCTCAGCCTTTCTAGAGCGCAGACCCAGTGTTGTTCATCCCTGTAGCCACGATGATTGGCACGCAGCTGGCGTCTGTTAAGTAGACTCTCTGGGACACTAACCTGTGGGAGTCTCCAGCCTGATAGAGAAGCTATAACCCTTGACCTGGGAGACACCCCCACCCTCTGAAGTCTGATGGGAATGCCCTGGCCCTTGCCACTCATGCACGCAGGTGTTTCTGCACACAGGGTAGTGAGTGGCTTGTACTGCCTGGATCTGGAGAAGGAAGAGCACTGGACTGGGAGTCAGGATTCCTGCCTGGGCTCCGATACTGGTACCACCACTGCCTTACAAAAGCTACCCGAACTCTTCAGGCTACAGTGCTTCATGTGTCCAGTGGCATTTGAATCTGACTTCTAAGGCTCAGCTTTGACATCCGAACTTATCATTCAACAAGCACAGAAATGGTTGTCATGTTGTGCCTCCAGAAGAGGCAACCACATCACCAGAGGATACCAAAAGCTTAGCTTTATATGAAGTGGCTCCTGGGGATGGGTGGCAAGAGTAGGCTCTGCCATCAGGCAAACCTCACAGGCCCTACATGTCTAGACCTATATTTGCTCCAGTTGTTCACTCCAGAGGTATCGAGTGAGCACCTGCTGCATACCCACTGCTGGGCTTGGCGCCACATCCTCTGCATTTTTAGTGCCCAGGGCCTCCTATGAGACCCTCGATGGGGGTTGGGGGTAGAGGTTAAGGAGAGTTGGGTTACTTGCCCTAGCAGAATAACCTCTCTTGACCTGAAGTGTACAAATGTCACTAAACAGTTGTGACTTCTTCGTAGGTGGGTGAGAAATGTGTGCTATTTATATCCAGAGGAGGAGAGGAAACTAACCCTACTTCTTCAAGCTCTGGATAGGACACGTGTCATCTAATATACTTCTTGATATTGTCCCTGTTTTATTTTATTTTGAGACAAGGTCTTGCTCCGTCACTCAGGCTGGAGTGCAGTGGCGCAAATACAGCTTACTGCAGCCTCGACCACCTGGGCTCAAGCTATCTTCCCACCGTGGCCTCCCATGTAGCTGGGACTATGGGTGCACGCCACCATGCCCAGCTAATTTTTTTTTTTATATGTTTTTGTAGAGACAGGTTTCACGATGTTCCCCAGGCTTGTCCTTATTTTAAAGATGAGGAACTGAGGCCTGGAAGGGCAAAGTAGCTTATTCCAGGGTCTAACAGTAGCAGCCCACAGGTGAGGAAACTGGTCCCAGCCATGAGGTGGGCACTGTTTTCTTCCCAAGCCTCAGAGGAGGGGCAGACTTTGAGCACTGAGCTGTCACAGCTGAGGGTCCCAGCAACCAGCTGGCCACCGGCTCAAATAATCTCTGAGCTGGAAGAGAATTCAGGGTCATCTTACTGTACCGCAGCAAGTCATGGTGGAGTCTCCTCTACAACACTTTCTTAAAGTGGTCGCCCCTTGGTTGCTGCCAGTGTCAGGGGAGAGGGGTTCAGTTCTCCCAAAGACAGTCCTTTCTAACTATGGACAGTCAGATGGTTACAGAGTTCACCCTCAGACTGAGCTAGAATCCTGCAGCTCCCATCTCTTGGTTGGTTAAGTTTAAAGATGAGGAACTGAGACCAGAGAGATGTCAAGTAACATCCCAGCATCACTCAAGCTGGGAAGTAACAGAGCTTAAGTTTACATGCAGCTGGGCCGGTGTAGGCCCACAGCTAGCCCTGTCTCCAGCAGTGGTCCATTGAGATGATTGGTTTTATCCCACAGGCCCCATCTGGAACCAGTCTGTCTTCACAGGATGGGCCAGCCCAGGGATGTGGCTGGAACTTGGCTCCCACTTTCTCAACTCCTACAACTCAAAGGAAAACCCTTGGCCATTAGCTATATGACTAATTCTGGCCTGAGAGTGTAATCTAAACAAATTCCACCCAATACCTTAAAACACAGCTGGTTTACCCTGATCCTCCCAAAACACATTTAGGCCGAGTCAACATCCATGTCCTGGCCAGGAAAATATTTGTTCTCCATTGAAGAGACGTTATTACCATCCAGCTCTGACCCTGGGCCCTACCTGCAGACTGGTTTTCCATGGTTCCTCTCTGGGTGGGTGCGTAGATGAGCTAACCATCTGGGGGAAGCAGAAGGGCTGCTGGGAGAGAGGTCTCTGAGGCCCCCATGCCTTTCCCCGCTCTAGCCTGGAGTGTGCTACCGAAGAGATGCCTCACAGGGTTCTAGAATGTATACAGGCCTGGAGCCCAGGGCTGATTCTGTCACTCTCTATTATGGCTCATTTTCCCCTTCCTTTAGTATTTATAGATGGGGATATCAAAGCCCAAAGAAACAAAGTGGCTTGCCCAAGATCACTCCAGGGAAGGAGCTAGCACTAGATCCTAAGCGCCAAGGGTCGTGGTGTGGGCCCTTTGGTCTGTCTTCGGTATGACCAGATTTATCCTGAGTCCCAAGGGGAATGACCAGGTGACCCCTGCCAGGCTCACCACCAATCCCAGAATTGCTGTAGGCAAGAGGTGGTGCCAGGTTTTAGAATAAACACCCCATTTACACAACAAGCTACGAACACATGCAACTCATTAGTTCCCGTTAGGGAGAGACAGTAATTCAGGATGGATTAGGTTTCTTGAAGCTGAACCCACATTGGCCCTGAAATCTTAGTGAGGGGTTCTCTCTGCCCCACCGCCCCTCCCAGAAGCCTGGGTTCTGCAGTGAGGCCACTACAGTCTTCACAGGAAAGGGCAGAATAACGTGATTGGGGATATAGTGTGTCAAGGCTGAGCTAAATAACGGGCAAGGCTTGGAATTGAACCCGGCAAGCTTCCTGGAGGAGGAGGCGGAGCCCGCTTGGTAGAACAGAGGGAGGGGTGGATTTTCTTGGTGGTGAAAAGATTGAGTGGGAGGTTGGGGAAGAGTGCAAACATCCTTCCCCTCTATCTCCCTAGCCCTGGGGATCCCTCCCTCTGCTCCTTCCTGGCAGGGTCTGGGTACGCTCGGTAGGGTGACTGGCCAGGTCCTTGGGGCCGAGACCCGCGGTGGGGGCGCGGCTGGCCGGGGCTCCCTCCCCGCGCCGGGAGCCTAGTGAGCGCGTCCCCGCGGGGGGCTTCGCAGCCCTTACAAGGAGTTTGGTGGCGTTAGGGGCGGCCCCGCCCTCCGGGCTCCACCGGCCCCTCCTCCCCGCCGGGTGGCAGCCAGCTGGGCGCTCTACGCGGGGCCGAGGGCGCGGACGCCGACGGGGCCGGACCCGCGCGCGCCAGGGAAGTCCGCGTCCCGCTCTCCAGGGCCCCGACGGGCGGGCGCGCTGCACTGGGCCCAGCGGCCGCCCACCTGCGTGGCTCTCCAGGGCGTCGCCATGTCCTCGGTGTTTGGAAAACCCCGCGCGGGCAGCGGGCCGCAGAGCGCGCCCCTCGAGGTCAACCTGGCCATCCTGGGGCGCCGAGGGGCCGGCAAGTCCGGTGAGTGACGCGGGGGACCCTGAGCCGCCGGGTGCGGAGCCGGGCATGGGAGGGGGACAGTGCTCTGTGTACTTGGGGGCAGGTTCTTCCACTGGCTGGGGGAGCCTCCTTCACCCAGGTGGGTCGCACAAGACTCCGTGATTTTCTTTGCCTCAGTTTCCCTGTTGCCGGCCTTTTTCTTCTCTCGGCTTCGTGCTCAGCTCCTCCATCTGTCTTCTGTCCCTGCCTGCCTCTTCCCTTTGTGTCTTCTCACTGTCTCTGTCCTCCGTGTCTGTGAGCCCTGCTGTCTCTCCCTATCTCTGTGGGTGTGTCTCTGTGGGTGGGAGTCCCCCACCACCAACCTTCCAACCCCACATGCCCTCTCCCTGGGGCCAGCAGTCAGTCTTGGCGACGGGCTCTAAAGGGACCTGTTCGCACTGATTTTCCCCCCACCCGCTCGAGAAGCCTCTTTTGAGTTTAGTCGCATCCTTGCTACTCCCTGGTTAAGCTTGGGAGAAGACTTCCCGTCCAACCCCTCCCCCTCCACACCGCCACCCCTTGGAAGGGAGCTGGTGAAGTCACTAGCTACTGAGATTTCTCAGGGACTGTTTATTCCCTCACTCCCACCCCCATTCCCTGGGATTCTGGGACAAGTTGTGCATTCTTATCAAAATTTGTTTGTTTCAAGCCAGACCCCTCTCAACTTTCCGGAAACACATTGGGTTACGGTTCCAGGTGCCTGGGATTGTCCTTGATGAGCCAAGATCTTGGGCTTCCATTGAGATAATCTGTGTCAACTCTGAACTGTGTCACTCCTGGAAGGAGGGAGGGCAGAGGGGGTCCTCCATTGGCTGTTTTTCCAATTTTAGCCATCAGTGATGGCCAACCCGAGCTCAGCTGGCTGTGGGTTTCCTCCCCAGAGTGTCCTGTGAGACACGCTGGGGACCTACTCTCTGAGTTTGAAGGCAGCCCCACTGGGGACTCAGAGCCCCAGAGGGGACTCTGCATCTGATTTTCCTACAGAAGGGATTACCCTCTTCCTTTGAAAGATTTGCCCTTTGAAAATCAGATTGTTATCTGTAACTCTGTAACTGGAGTTCAGGGTGCAGTCATGACTCACTATAGCCTCAAACTCCTGAGTTCAAGCGATCCTCCTCCTCAGCCTCCTCCAGCCTCAGCTAGGTCTATAGGCATGCCACCATGCCTGGCTAATTTTTAATTTTTTTACAAATAGGGTCTCACTATATTGCCCAGGCTGGTCTCAATCCCCCAGCCTTGGCCTCCTAAAGCACTGGAATTACAGGCATCACATTGCCTACTTTCCTTTCTCTCTCTTTTCTTCCTTCCTTTATCTCTCTCCTTTCTCTCTTTTCCTTCCCTTCCCTCCCCTCCCCCTTCCCTTCCCTCCCCTCCCCTCCCTTTCCTTCCCTCCCTTTCCCTCCCTCCTTCCCTTCCCTTTCCTTCCCCTCTCTCTTCCTTCCCCTCCCCCTCCCCTCCCCTTTCCTCCCTCCCCCTCCCCCTTTCCTCTCCTGCCCTCCCCTCCTCCTCTCTCCCTTCCCCCCCTCCCCTCCTCTCCCTCCCCTCCTCTCCCTCTCCCCTTCCCTGTCTCCCTCTCCTCTCTTTCCTTTCCCTCCCTTCCCCTTCCCTCCCCTTCCCTCCCCTCCCCTTCCCTTCATCTTTCCCTCCCTCCTTCCTTCTTTCTTTCTGGCTCCAAACGGACTCTTTTCTTTTCTTTCTCTATCTCTTTCTGTCTCTCTCTTCCCTCCCTTCCCTTCCCTCCCTCCCTCCCTTCTCTTTCTCTCTTTTCTTTCTTGTCTTTCTTTTCCCTCCCTCCCTCTCTCCCAAACAAGCAGTAGTGAACATTACTTTTTGAGGGTTCAATATAGTAGTTGGTTGGTCCTTGCTTTATGTGGCTACACTCTGAACCAAAGAGAACTTAATTCTTGAGTTTTACGTTTTGCGGAGATACCTGTGTTGAGTGTGGAGGCCCCAGAGAGAACCAAGACCTGCAATATGGAGGACCAGGACAGAGTGTGTTTCTTTGGGACACAGACCTCACCTGGAAATCCCAGCCGCTTGGGGATATATACCCTACCCAAGGATCAACCACTGATCAACTCTGCTCATCCTGTGTTTTTGGCTTGTAGCCAAAGTCTGGAATAAATAGCCCCACACTTCAGAATCTTTATGATTTGTCTGGGGTGGGCAACACCTCCCTTCAGTTGGGGTTTCACCAGGCGGACTCTAGGGTATAATGGTTGCATGTGTCCTGACCACTAAGTTCATACCTTAACAAACACCCCTCAGGCTCGCCTCTCATTGCTTTCCTTGCCATTAAAAGAAATTTTCAGGGTGCAATTAGAGGCACTTGGCTCTCCCCCTATTTCTGGTTTCTTCTGAGCCTCTCAAACTAATTCCTCAGTTCCCTAGCTTCGTTCTCTGGGAGAGCTGAGATTGGTGTCAGGTGGGAATCACAGAGGTTAGATAAGGCCTCCCTAAAACAAGGGGCCAGCAGCTAGACACAGCAGGAGAGACAGAGCCAACCTCTTTTTGCTTCTTGCAGCCCTGACTGTGAAGTTTCTGACCAAGAGGTTTATCAGCGAATACGACCCCAACTTGGGTAAGAAACTACTCTTCCCTGTACCTCCTTCTACCTGCACCCCACCTGGATTGCCCCTCTGGGACCTACCCGTGGGTGGGTGCTGAGCAGGACTGCATGTCTGGGGACAGAAGGAAGAAGTTGCCAACATGACTCAGCCCATGGGGGAAGATGTTTCAAGTGTCAGAAATACCCCTTCCACAGTCCACCCCAGACAGTCGGGAGTTGGCCCAGTTCACATAACTAAGAGAGGCCGATTTACCCTAAAATATGAGGTATGATGAAACTTAAAGAAAATGAAAATAAACGTACCAGGACATCCACATCCAAACAAGTATTATTCTTGGGCCGGGCACGGTGGCTCAGCCTGTAATCTCTGGACTTTGGGAGGCTGAGGCAGGTGGATCACTTGATGTCAGGAGTTAATGACCAGTCTGGCCAACATGGAGACACCCCGTCTCTACTAAAAATATAAGTTAGCTGGGCATAGTGGCATGCGCCTGTAATCCCAGCTTCTAGGGAGGCTGAGGCAGGAGAATTGCTTGAACCTGGGAGGCAAAGGGTTGCAGTGAGCCGAGATTGCACCACTGCACTCCAGCCTGGGCAACAGAGCGAGATTCCATCTCAAAAAAAAAAAAAAAGAAAAAAAAAAATCAAGAAACAAATAGGTATTATTCTTCAAGACGGTCACTCAGTGTTCTCTTCCAGAAAATCCGGGCAAGACATTTGTGAAATTCTCTAGTGGAGCTGGCTTCTGAACCAGTTTTTTAACCATTTGAGAAAACAACTCTGGTTTTTATTGCTGCGTCATGGTATATTGGAGAAAGGAATGTTTCGGTATCAGTCAGAGCTGAGTTTCAATCCTGCCTGGCTCTGCCCTTATTGGCAACTTGAGCCAGTCAGCTAACCTCTCTGAGCTACTGTTTTCTGGTCTGTAAAATGGGCATTAGAAATACCTGTCTCAGAGAATTGCTGTGAGGATTAAAGCAGTAACACATGTGAAAGCTGCAGCCTGGGACTTGACCCACAGCAGGCACTCCATGCATTTTTGCTTTTCCTTTCTCCTCAAATGGCTTCCTGTACACAATGGCTTAGAATCCCTTCTAGAACAAATCAAAGCAGGATTTTGTCAGTATACATGTAGCTTAAAGCTCACATGTGTAACATTTACCTGTTGTAAACTGTTCACTGAGAGCAGTAAGGTGTCTGGGTGATCTTAGCCATTTGTTTTGTTTTTTGCCAGGCTGGGGTGCAGTGGTGTGAACTCCACTCGCTGCAACCTCTACCTCCCAAGTAGCTGGGACATAGATTTTCCTGCCTCAGCCTTCCAAGTAGCTGGGACGACAGGCGGGTGCCACCACACCCAGCTAACTTTTGTGTTTTTAGTAGAGATGGGATTCACCGTGTTGGCCAGCATGGTCTTGATCTCTTGACCTCGTGATCCGCCCGCCTCAGACTCCCAAAGTGCTGGGATTGCAGACATGAGCCACCGTGCCTGGCCGATCTTAGCCTTTTGAAAATGGGTGTTGCAGTCTTGGATTATTTTCCTCAGTCATAAAAATCAAATAAAGCATTCATGGGATGCCTGAGAACCCGCCAAAGCAGCTCAGGGCTCTGTGACACAAGTGGAAGGCCCTGTACTACCTGCAGCAGGCCCGTGATACAGTGCTACTGCCACACCTGGAGGGGAGAGCTCCTTACCCCCGTGGTGCCCAGCCCCTTAGTTCAGGCTGGAGTCCCGCACCAAATCCCAGTGTTGGAGCAGGCAGAGGTATCAGGGCTATTTAGTCCCCCGGTTTAAAAAAAGCTTTTACTTAGGTAGCAGACGCTCTTCTTCCAAATTTTATTTTATTTTATGTTTCTTTAAGAGATGGGGTTTCACCATGTTGACCAGGCTGGTCTCAAACTCCTGACATCAGGTGATCCACCCACCTCGGCCTCCCAAAGTACTGGGATTACAAGCATAAGCCACCATGCCCTGCTGCTGCTTCCAAATTTTAAACAGAACCCCACTCTGTGTCAGAGAGAGCAAAGGGATTCCCATGGGTAAGTGAGGGATGCAGGGCAGGTGACATGGTGACAGTCCTTAAGGGGTTTGTTCCTCAAAGCTCTGCTTGACCCCCAGTGCCTTGCCACCGCCCTTCAGTGCTACTGTGAAGGAGACAGGCCCAAGGAGCTGTCTCTGGGCTAGAGTCACCCAGAGGAGCCCCTTTGATTGGCAGAGGTCAGCTCCAGAGAGAGGACGGCACAGGGCACAGTGATGTGCTGGCCGGGGAGGTGTTGGGAGTGGCCAGGGCATGGAATAGAGATGGGGTGGAGAAACTGAGGGCAGAGGTGAGGTGGGAGGGCAGGAAGGAAAGGCACACAGACAGACACGGGGTCTGGGAAAGGACGAAGGGAATTCCCAAGGACAGGGCCTCAGAAGATACACTCGGCCTGATTCAGAGATTGCATGGGTCACGTGTACACTAAAAATTATTCCTTTTGGTTTGACAGATTTAACTGGGCATCTCGTATTTTTCCTGGCAACTCACCTCTAGTCTCTCTTCCTCCCTGCCCTCCAGTCCATACTGTCACGGGGTCCCACTGGACGAGCCTATTACAGTGGCGGTTTGAGCCTCCTGATTGAGTAATTTCGGAGTTCTGACTGGTAGTGGAATGCGTGGTCAGACTGTCTGGGAGGCAGGCAGCCCCACAGTGGTCAGTCCCTTCAGCCTGTGGTCTCTCCCGCTATACTGACAGCCCACGAGTCAGGGAGCCAAGCAGACATTCCCCCAGGCTCTCTGGGAGGCCGGTGCCGCTCCTCAAAGGTTCTGCTGAGAAGGGTCTAAAGATTCTGGCCACTGTCCCATTGTTGGTTCCAGCAGCAGCAGAGACTGGGACGAGAACCTTTCCTTCTGTGGATAAAGGTCTCAACATTCCGAGGGGGAGGGGGTGGATAGCCATCAGCAGTCCTGGTAAAACAACTCTCTGCGCCCTTCCTAGGTCTTCTGAGAGCCTGAGCTCATTTGGTGAGCCTCGTGGGTGGAGACTCATTCCCGTTTCCAGCAGGTAGCACAGTACTAGGCTCAGTGTAGATGAAGGTTTAACTGGGGGGGGGGGTAAATTCTGGTTTTAGGATTACCCTTTAAAGAAGAGCTCCTATCATGATCCCCATTTTATTTTTTATTTTATTTTATTTTTTATTTTTTATTTTTTTTGAGATGGAGTTTCGCTCTTGTTACCCAGGCTGGAGTGCAATGGCGCGATCTCGGCTCACTGCAACCTCCGCCTCCTGGGTCTCCTGGGTTCAGGCAATTCTCCTGCCTCAGCCTCCTGATAGCTGGGATTACAGGCACGCACCACCATACCCAGCTAATTTTTTTGTATTTTTAGTAGAGACAGGGTTTCACCATGTTGACCAGGATGGTCTCGATCTCTTGACCTCATGATCCACCCACCTCGGCCTCCCAAAGTGCTGGGATTACAGGCGTGAGCCACCGCACCCGGCCATGATCCCCATTTTATAGGTGGAGAAATGGAGGAAGAGAGGGCCCAGGGATTTGCCTAAGATTATGGAGGCACAAAGGATGATGAGCTGTGGCTCCAGTTGCTCTCTGCTAGGAGCAGCCTCATGTCATAGAGAGCCTGGAGCCAGAGGTCTGTGTGGCACGGGGCCCTCTGAGCCACGGGTTCCTCATCTAGAAGATGGGACTAATAGCTTGCCTGCGCTCTGGCTGTGTAAGAGTTGTGCGGTGTTCTGGGGTGTGGCTGGTAGAGCTGGTAGGAGCTGAGAGATTCAGTGTCTGTGGAAGGGCTCTGCCTGGGCTGAGGCCTGCAGGAATGGTTAGGGGTCTCCAGGGGAATATTCTCCTCTCCCATAAGGGCTGGGGGTGCCTCATCTGACTCAGCCCAGGGAGAACGTCAGCTTCTCACTTCTCGTGCCCTCCTTCTGCTCCAGTGAGGGCATAGGCACCATTTCTGAGGCAGCTTCCTACATACACTCTGACGTGAGCTTCTGTAGTGCCTTTAAAAAAAGTATTATTACTGGGCTGGGTGCGGTGGCTCCTGCCTGTAATCCCATGGATATTCTGAGGTCAGGAGTTTGAGACCAGACTGGCCAACCTGGTGAAACCCTGTCTGTACTAAAAATACAAAAAATAAAATAAAATAAAATTAGCTGGGCGTGGTGGTGCATGCCTGTAATCCCAGCAACTCAGGAGGTTGAGGCAGGAGAATCACTTGAGCCCAGGAGGCAGAGGTTGTAGTGAGCCAAGATCGCGCCATTGCACTCCAGCCTGGGTGACAGAGCAAGACTCTGTCTAAAAAAAAAATTATTATTACTGTAAATGAGAGGAAAACAACTTTGGGAAATGACTCTTTTCTCAGCACAAAAGTCCATGAAATAGTAATTAGAACCAGGTATTGGGAAGACCATATATTTAAGGACACTAGAGTATCCTGAGGCAGGGACTTGGTGACTGGACTGGACATTACTGTGACTGTGAAAGGAGCCCCTCACTCCTGCCCTAGTCCCTGAGGCCGGTCACCTCTTCTGTAAAGGGAAGCTGGACAGTATGAGCTCCAAGGTTTCTTCCAGCTCACGCAGCCATGTTCCATGTCCCTGCTGGACTGGGCAGTTCTGGTCTTCCCTTGTGCCCTACCCAGACAGAGCTGGAGGGTGGGCTGATCCACTGAGCAGTCAGGGAGTGAGGGAGTCCCAGCCTAGAAGCCCTGAGTTCAAGTTCCTTCTGCTGATTGGGCCTTGGGCAAGTTCAAGTTCCTTCTGCTGTGTGGCCTTGGGTGAGTTCAAGTTCCTTCTGCTGTGTGGCCTTGGGTGAGATCCCTTCTCTAGGCCTTCATCTTGTCATCTCTCTACAATGGAGCTAACAGCAACCTTGAAAGGCTGTCATGTTGTCAACAGGAGGCCAGGGTGCGGCTGGCGCCTTGCACTGGGGTGGGCAGGACACTGAGCCCGTTGGGAGGAACCCTTAAAAGGGGTGCATCTGACATCTTTGACTGGAAAATAAAGACAGATCTGAAAGAGAGGTAAGCCTCTAGGGGCAACTCTTCTTGGACCAAATATAGTTAAACATTTGGGACATAGTTTCCATTACATTTTTTTTTTGTCTTTGCATAAGAGCAGCTATTTATCCAAGTCCCCAAAGCAAGCTGGGGACAAGAAGCTGTCTATGATTCATGCTGGATGCTAGTGGACCTGGAGAGTGTCCAGGCCGGCTTGGCTGCCAGTGGCCCTCAGAGAGAAGTGTTTGACTGTAAATTCAGCCAGGGTTGGGGGCGTGCCCTCTCACAGTGGATGCTGCCGGGAGGGTAGAGAGCATCCCAGTTCTGCCAAAGGGGGTCTTCTGTAGGGTCACTAGGGCAGGGGACACCTAGGGAAAGGTGATAACCAAGTGCACTTACCCATGTGGGCCAATGACACAGGCAGATTGGGGTGGGGAGAATGACTGCCAACATGGCCACAAGGTCCTCTGCATGCCTGGCCACTTGCTGCTTTCTCAGATTTGCGATCATGAGAACGATATACTATATAAAAAGGTAACAACTCAAGAAATTCAAATAAGGTCACTAGTTTGGTTCATAGAACCGTATCAGTGTAAGTTTCTTTGTGGTCCTTGGGCTGTGGTTATGTTAGGTGATGACGTTGGAGTAAGCTGGGTGAAGAGTACACAGGAACTCTGTACTATTTTACAACTTCTATGTCATTCTAAAGTTGTTTGAAAATAAAAAGTAAAAAACAAACAAACAAACAAACAAAAAAACTCTGGGAATGTGATTCTGCCCTATTAACTTTGGAACACCATGGTTCCCGCTGCCCTCACCAGGCATGTATGGGGAGCCAGGCCCCAGGCCCAGGGGGGCCCATCCGGTCCTTACAGACCCCTGGGAGATGGGACCTTTTGTTTTATTGCATTTTAGGCTGGGGTACATGTGAAGAACATGCAAGATTGTTGCATAGGTACACACATGGCAGTGTGATATGCTGCCTTCCTCCCCATCACCCATACCTGGCATTTCTCCCCATGCTATCTCTCCCCAACTCCCCACCCCCTGCTGTCCCTCCCCTAGTACCCCCCCAGGCAGTGTGTGATGCTCCCCTCCCTGTGTCCATGTGTTCTCATTGTTCAACATCCACCTATGAGTAAGAACATGCGATGTTTGATTTTCTGTTCTTGTGTCAGTTTGCTGAGAATGATGGTTTCCAGGTTCATCCATGACCCTACAAAGGACACGAACTCATCGTTTTTGATGGCTGCATAGTATTCCATGGTGTATATGTGCCACATTTTCCCTGTCCAGTCTATCATCGATGGGCATTTGGGTTGGTTCCAAGTCTTTGCTATTGTAAACAGTGCTGCAGTGAACATTCGTGTGCACGTGTCCTTATAGTAGAACGATTTGTAATCCTTTGGATATATACCCAGTAATGGGCTTGCTGGGTCAAATGGAATTTCTATTTCTAGGTCCTTGAGGAATCGCCACACTGTCTTCCACAATGGTTGAACTAATTTACACTCCCACCAACAGTGTAAAAGTGTTCCTATTTCTCCACATCCTCTCCAGCATCTGTTGTCTCCAGATTTTTTTTTTTTTTTTTTTTTTGAGACGGAGTTTCGCTCTTGTTACCCAGGCTGGAGTGCAATGGCGCCATCTCGGCTCACCGCAACCTCCGCCTCCTGGGTTCAGGCAATTCTCCTGCCTCAGCCTCCTGAGTAGCTAGGATTACAGGCACGTGCCACCATGCCCAGCTAATTTTTTGTATTTTTAGTTGAGACGGGGTTTCACTATGTTGACCGGGATGGTCTCGATCTCTTGACCTCGTGATCCACCCGCCTCGGCCTCCCAAAGTGCTGGGATTACAGGCTTGAGCCACCGCGCCCGGCTTGTCTCCAGATTTTTAATGATCGCCATTCTAACTGGCATGAGATAGTATCTCAGTGTAGTTTTGATTTGCATTTCTCTAATGACCAGTGATGATGAGCATTTTTCGTATGTTTGTTGGCCTCATATAGGCCTTCTTTTGTAAACTATCTGTTCGTATGCTTCGCCCACTTTTGAATGGGCTTGTTTGTTTTTTTCTTGTAAATCTGTTTTAGTTCTTTGTAGATTCTGGATATTAGGCCTTTGTCAGATGGGTAGATTGCAAAAATTTTTTCCCATTCTGTTGGTTGCCAACTCTAATGACTGTTTCTTTTGCTGTGCAGAAGCTGTGGAGTTTGATTAGGTCCCAATTGTCTATTTTGGCTTTTGTTGCCAATGCTTTTGGTGTTTTGGTCATTAAGTCCTTTCTTATGCCTATGTCCTGAATGGTTTTGCCTAGATTTTCTTCTAGGGTTTTTATGGTGTTAGGTCTTATGTTTAAGTTTTTAAGCGAGATGAGACTGTTAAATCAGCTCACATCAAGCACTTCACACAGCACCGGAGACAGAGGAAAGGCTTGGAAACTGTTAGCAATATTATCATAGTATTCTCATTTTAAAATGAGGAAACAGCCTCAGAGAGTTGAAGTGATTTGGCCAAGTCACACAGCTAAAAAGTAGCTGACATTGGGTTTAGTTCCACGTTTTCCAGCTGAAAACTTTTGACCACACTAGACGCCCCTCCTCTCGTGTTGACAAGTGACAAGGATTATTTGTAAAACCTTCTCCGAAATTTTTTTTTTTTTTGAGACAGTGTCTCACTCTGTCGCCCAGGCTGGAGTGCAGTGGTGCGATCGCAGCTCACTGCAGCCTTCACCTCCTGGGTTCAAGCGATTCTCTCTCTTTTTTTTTTTTTTTTGAGACGGAGTTTCACTCTTGTTACCCAGGCTGGAGTGCAATGGCGCGATCTCGGCTCACCGCAACCTCCGCCTCCTGGATTCAGGCAATTCTCCTGCCTCAGCCTCCTGATAGCTGGGATTACAGGAATGCGCCACCATACACAGCTAATTTTTGTAGTTTTAGTAGAGATGGGGTTTCACCATGTTGACCAGGATGGTCTCGATCTCTTGACCTCATGATCCACCCGCCTCGGCCTCCCAAAGTGCTGGGATTACAGGCGTGAGCCACCGCGCCCGGCCTTAAGCGATTCTCTTGCCTCGGTCTCCTGGGTAGCTGGGATTACAGGCACACACCATCATGCCCAGATACATTTTTTATTTTTGAAGTGATGGGGTTTCACCATGTTGGCCAAGCTGGTCTTGAACTCCTGACCTCAGGTGATCTGCCCACCTCAGCCTCCCAAAGTGCTGAGATTATAGGCATGAGCCACTGTGCCCAGCCCCTTCTCGGAATTTCTAAATGGGGTCTGACTGCCATCCCTCCATCGTATTGTGTACTTCTCTTTTCTCTTGTCTCTTCTTCCAGTGTGGGCAGGAGGATGGTCAGAGGGGAAGAGGATAGGAAAGCTTGGGGTTCTGGGATGGAGGGAATGGCAGTGCAGCTCCTGAGCCAGCCTGTGCTGCTAACAGGGTCCTGGGCCACCCACTCCACTCCATCCTGCTGGTTTTGTGTTTGGGCCCATAACACAGTCCCGCCCCAGAGGCATGGTCTGCGAGTAACCACTGATGCTGAGCCCTGCAGGCGGAGCAGCAACTCCTGGGTGGGAGATTCTGCCTGTAGCTTCCATGTGGGTGAGAACCAAGGACTTTCCAGTGGTCCCAACCCCAGAGCAGCTCTTAAAGTCCCCAAGACCCCACAAGGGTCTAGCACAGAGGGAAGCTCAAACTTAGATCCAAGGCACTGTGTCTGACCCAGCTGACCGTCTGTGTTGTAGAGGACACCTACAGCTCCGAGGAGACTGTGGACCACCAGCCCGTCCACCTGAGGGTCATGGACACTGCAGACCTGGTAACATTACCCCCATCACCTGTGCACTGCTACAAATCAGTGTCGCCTCCTGAGAAGTCCTGGCCCAGAGTATGGGTCCTCAGATGGGCATTTAGATGCCTTTTAAGCTCAAGTTTGCTGTGTAATCCTGAATGAGGCACTCGACCTCTTTGGGCCTTAACCCTTCCTTTGCCAAATGAGAAGGATGGGACAGGGCCTGGAGAGACCTGATGGTTGCTGGCATCTGCTCTGAGATCCTGGCTATGGGGCTCTGTGCTAGTGCACATGAGGAGGCAGGAGCAGACCTGTTTACACAGATGCTCCTGGTGAGAGCCCTTCCCACACACAAATCTCCCCCCATGTCCTCAGCACCCCCTGCCAAGGCTGGATGCCAGTTACTCTCAGAACCCAAAGGGGGAGCATGAACCTGACCCAAAACCAGCAGTGCCCAGGGACAGCCAGGTCTCTGTAGGGGCCATGCCAGAGTCTTTGGCTCTGTGCCCAGGGGGGCAAGGTCTCCCAGTTTCTGGCTGGATGGTGGGAGGGAGGTTCATGAGACAATGTCTCCTTTCACACCAAGCCAAATCCACAGTCAAGTGCCCCTTTGAAAGGGCTCTGCTGAGGAACAGTATACAAAGACCCGGGGAGTGGGGAGGTGGGATTGGGCGGCTCAGGTGAAGGCCTTTACCCTAACCTCCTCTGCCCCCTGGCGGGGATTCTCTCCTTCACCCCAGGACACCCCCAGGAACTGTGAGCGCTACCTGAACTGGGCCCATGCCTTCCTGGTGGTGTACAGCGTCGACAGCCGCCAGAGCTTCGAGGGCAGCAGCAGCTACCTGGAGCTGCTCGCCTTGCATGCAAAGGAGACACAGCGCAGCTTCCCTGCCCTGCTGCTGGGCAACAAGCTGGACATGGCCCAGTACAGGTGAGCACAGGCTGCTTGGCCCTTGTCTCTGGAGCTCGCTTTCTTCGCTTGTAAAGGCAGGCGGCATCTTTAGGGATTGGTAGGCTGCTAAGAACAGTCATCCCTTTGAATTGAGGTAGTAGGGTTTATACATTTGTTTGTTTGTTTGTTTTCTGAGACTGAGTCTCACTCTATTGCTCAGGCTGGAGTGCAATGGCACCATCTTAGCTCACTACAACCTCTGCCTGCCGGGTTCAAGTGATTCTCCTGCCTCAGCCTCTCCAGTAGCTAGGATTACAGGCGCCTGTCACCACATCTGGCTAATTTTTTTATTTTTAGTAGAGACAGGGTTTCGCCGTGTTGGCTAGGCTGGTTTTGAACTTCTGACCTCAGATGATCCGCCCGCTTCGGCCTTCCAAAGTGCTGGGGTTACAGGCATGAGCCACCGTGCCTGGCCTAAGGGATTATGTCATAAGGCTATGGTAGATGTTGGTCTTCCAGGCAGCCAAGGACTTGAAGGGAAAGGTTTCAGGGTCACATAGGGGCTGCACCCTGAAAGTCAGAAGAGAGTCCACTCCTTCCACCCTCTTGGGTCTCTGGTCTCTCTTGGACTCACCCTTCTTGCCTGAGTCTGTATGACCTTCTGGTCCCACTCACAGCAGCTGACTGGTCTAATGCCCAATGCCAATTTTAAGGAGAGAGGCTCTGATTGGCTCCTTGGTCAGGTGTCTTGCTCTGGTCCAACGGGCTCTCACCTCACCCAGCCCCAGCCCCCCCAGGCTCACTCCTGTGGTTGGCTGGGCTGAGGGCAGGTTCTCTTAAAAAGATTTGGACTCAAATCAGAGGTCATAGACTGGGCCAGAGGGCGCATTCCTGAAGAATACTGCAGTTGTATTTTGCTTGGCTGGCATAGTGTTTTACAAGACCTAGAACTGGAATGCTTTGAGGTGGGACACACTTTCTCCAGCCTAGCAGGCCTCGACACTCCCTGTGGTTTACCTCCACCCTCTTCACACCTTCAAGTTGCCTGCCTGGCCCTGAGGCATTTGACTCTGCGATTCCTGTAGTAATGCCGCTGGATTTCTCCAACACTGACCTTTGTTCTCTGTGGCCGGTCTACCTGCAAGAGATAGCCCCTTCCGTCAGCCACGCATCCCTCCCTGCTCTCGGCTGGTCAGTCTTGCTTCCTGAGGCCCCAAGGGCACATTGACTGGTGTTAGCAAGTAGGGGACCCTTTGTTTCAAACGGGTCAGATGGGCAGTGGGAAAAAGAGAGGTGTGAGATCGTGAAGGGGGACTATGGGAAGAGGCCTTCAAAGGTGGCCAAGCCCTCAGACCCAGGGAAATTGTGTCTCAGGAAATGAGAGAAGTCATGTGACCTGAAAGCTGTTGAAGGTAGCCTTTGAGGAATCACAGGATTGTGAGTAGGCCAGTTTTCAATACAGGGAAAGAAATTACGGATCACTTTTTTGACCCCAATCTTTGCCAAAGGGATTGTCTAAAATAGTTTGTGAGCAAATAACAAAGAATACATGCTCAAATGAAGCTGATCTCACTCGTTCCCTAAAAACAACTTAGGACGGCCCGGAACAGTGGCTCATGTCTGTAATCCTAGCACTTTGGGAGGTCAAGGCGGGTGGATCACGAGGTCAAGAGTTCAAGACCAGCCTGGCCAAGATGGTGAAACCCCGTCTCTTTTACTAAAAATACAAAAATTATCCGGGCGTAGTGGTGGGCGCCTGTAATCCCAGCTACTTGGGAGGCTGAGGCAGAGAATTGCTTAAAGCCGGTAGGCAGAGGTTGCAGTGAGCTGAGATCATGTCACCGCACTCCAGCCTGGGTGACAGAACAAGACTCTGTCTCAAAAAACAACCAAAAAGACCGGGCGCGGTGGCTCAAGCCTGTAATCCCAGCACTTTGGGAGGCCGAGGTGGGTAGATCACGAGGTCAAGAGATCGAGGCCATCCTGGTCAACATGGTGAAACCCGGTCTCTACTAAAAATACAAAAATTAGCTGGGCATGGTGGCGCCTGCCTGCAATCCCAGCTCGGGAGGCTGAGGCAGGAGAATTGCTTGAACCCAGGAGGCGGAGGTTGCGGTGAGCCGAGATCACGCCATTGCACTCCAGCCTGGGTAACAAGAGCGAAACTCCGTCTCAAAAAAAAAAAAAAAAAACCAACCAAAAAAAACCCAACTTATGACAGTGTATCCCCAATTCATTCTTCGAACAAGTCCCGAGTTTAGTAGATTAGGATTCTGGGAAGCACAGGAAATCTAACTTTTTGCTGAGCGTTGGTCACTGTCTCCCGTGACTGTCTCACAGCTGAAAGGGTAAAATGTGGGTTAGAGTGGTGCTTCCCAAGCCACTGATAAAATTTTCACTAGGATGCAACAAAATAAGACAAAGGACAATGCCCTGTGCCTCTGTCACCCACTCACACACATGCATGCAAACACAGGGTTTGTGTTTGTGAGAATTCATTATTCAAGCTGCAGATTCAAGCTCATCATAAAAGTAAATAATAGCAAGTATTCTTCCCAGAAGGGTTCCTCAGGAAGTGGCGAGCTTACCGACAGAACACCAGTCCTGGGTGGAGAGTAGATTCGATGCCTCTGACTCTTTTAGTTCCAGTTATTCTCTCTGTCTCTCTGAGACTCCCCCCACTGATGGAGTGGCACCCTGGGCAGCTAGCCCATTCTCACACCCTGCTCCTGCCAGGTCAGCCTTGGCTCAGAAACCTTCCCCACCATGGCCCACTCGAATGCCTCCTCTTATCTGGCGGCTGTGCCATCATCCTTGGGAATGGGCAGTGTCCGCTCAGCAATAGGTCAGGAGGATCCAGCCAGTGGAATCTCGGCTCCAAGACTTCAGGGACCCCCGTCTCTTCCCTCTTCTAGACATCCGACCTACCCAGGAGCCAGCCTTCTTTTTCCTCCCGCCTCAGTTCCCACAGCTTTCAGTCCCGACGCCTCCAGGACTGTCCCAGGTTTCAGATACTCAGTTCTCCCCACACGGGAGGTGGTGTGGAACCAAATTGGAATCGGTGTTGCCCCCTCTCTCCTTTTGCCCTCATCACCGTGAAATATTGTCACCCCTGCTCTCTCCTGCCCTAAGAACACCCCAGGAACCCTGAGAACTCTGCCAACCACAGGCTTCTGGAATCCTAGCACTTTGGGAGGATCACCTCTGTGGCCTAAGCCTTCAGTCCAAATGACCACTTCTCTCTAGAGCTGATCCCACAAGCCAGAGCTGTGGGTGGCCTGTTTCCTGCCCCAGGGACCCATGTTGGGGTAGAGAAGAGATGGGGCTGGGAATGGCCTGCTTCCTTCAGCCCCATCTAGCATGGGTGATTTGGAACAGCTTCTTACCCTCATCCTCATCCCGAAATTCTGGCTTGGGTGACATCAGCCACCGTTTATTGAGCACTGAATCTGTGCCAGGTACAAATTGTCTTTTGTAATCCTAACAACCCTGAGAGGCAGAGGTCAGTAACCCACTGTACTGATGAGAACACTGAGACTCAGAGAGGTGATGATCTCAGACCACCCAGCTAGTCCGTGGGACGCCGGGTATAGGAGCTGGTCTGCCCAACTTGGCACAGCCTGCTCCTAACCCCCTGCCTCACCCTGCTTCCTCGCCAGGCAAGTCACCAAGGCAGAGGGCGTGGCCTTGGCAGGCAGGTTTGGGTGCCTGTTTTTCGAGGTCTCTGCCTGTCTGGACTTTGAGCACGTGCAGCACGTCTTCCACGAGGCAGTTCGAGAGGCACGGCGGGAGCTGGAGAAGAGTCCCCTGACCCGGCCCCTCTTCATCTCCGAGGATAGGGCCCTGCCCCACCAGGCCCCGCTCACCGCCCGCCATGGGCTGGCCAGCTGCACCTTCAACACACTCTCCACTGTCAGCCTGAAGGAGATGCCCACCGTGGCCCAGGCCAAGCTGGTCACCGTGAAGTCATCCCGGGCCCAGAGCAAGCGCAAGGCACCTACCCTGACCCTCCTGAAGGGCTTCAAGATCTTCTGAGGACCCCTCCCCAGGAACCCTGGGCTCGGTGGCTGGACAGGCCCTCAGCAGGACAGGGGCTGGCTTCTTACCACCAGCCTTTCCCTCTGATGGACAGCAGACCCCGCCTCCAGCACCAAGACGTGTCTCTACATTCAGTTCCCTGTGTGAGCTGGAGTGGCAGGCAGGGATGCTGCTCTGTTCCCTCCAGGCCTTGCTCTTCATGGTAACCACCACATCTGTGGCCCTGGAGGAAAACAGCCACTGCGACAACCCAGAGCCTTGGGGTCAGCCTTAAGTAGGAAGAAATTGCAGTGCCCATCCTGCTGCCATCAGCCTTTCCTGCTCCAGCTGCAGTTGGGCCAGCTGTGGCCCTTCATGGACGGTCTGGGTGGACAGCTCTGTCAGTGTCGGGCCTAACAGTCTGCAGAATGATAGCTCTGGGGTCCTTGTGCCACCTGGTGGACGGGAAAGGCAGGGCGGCTGCAGTTTCAGAGGCCAGAGCCAGGCCCTCCTGTCATCTGCTGACTTCACAGAAGGCCCAGGCTACAAATTCCACAGTTTATCCAAGGAAGGTCTAGTTAAAATAATCCAATGGGCCACCTGGGCGGGGCAAAGGGGTCCCAGGAAGGAGGGTAAAAGGGAGGGGGCTGTCCAATGTAAGGAACCCCAGAGTTCTTTCACCAGCAGAGTCCCCATGTTTTCCCACTGTTATGGACTCTGTCCATAGAACCTCAGGGCCAGCTCCCTCAAGTTTAATGATCAGGCTGAAGAAGAAAGTTGTCACTCCAGTGAGTTACCCAGGGCTCCAGGGAGCCCACAGCAGCATCAGACCCATCCAGGGGCTACAGGGCATGCCCCCTTACAGGTGGAAAAACAGTATTGCTGTTTGTCTTCTGGTTTGGCAGGACCCAGGACCCTCAGCAATGGGTCTGAGTGTTCAAAGCGGATAGCAGAATACCATGGCTCAGCCATGGGATCAGGACACTCCTTTGGGATCCCACCATTGGCAAGGAAAGGCCCTCCGAGGCAGGCAGTGTGGTAGTTAGCTGATTTTGTTTACCACACACCAAGTCCAAAGGAAGTGTTGCACAGATTCTTAGCAGATAAGTAGGGAAAGGAGAGGGCCCTGGTGTGTGGAAGGATTGGGAAGGGGATTCTGAGCCTGGAATCCTGTCCCTTCCTCTCTTAGCAGTCTCAAGACTGCTGTTGGATTGCAAACAGCGTCTCTGACCCAGTCTTCAGCCTCATTCTGTAAATGGAGGAGCTGAGGTCAGAGTGGGCTTGTGAACTGTTCAAGACCACATGCTTAGAGTCCTAGCCAGGCTTCCTGATGCACAGGCCAGATATAGATACAGATTTTGCACTTTTGCTCCAAGCCACTTGTGTGTGTGTGTGTGTGTGTGTGTGTGTGTGTACGTGTGTACCACTGCCATCTGAACAAACTGCAATACCACCCGCTCACTTCCAGGACCATTTTAATAAAAGATTTTTTTAATAACAATTTTAGTTTGCTTGCAGTTCATTCATTGTATCTGCTTAAAAAAAAAAAAGGAAGAAGAAAGTAGGCTGCTTGGGAGAAGCTGTAAAATCTGAGGTTTCAGGCCACTGAGCTGAGCCCAGATCATGTGCCTGGCTTAGGGTGGGGCTTCTCTGAACCCTCACTAGCTCTCAGTTTCTGGTACATCTGGAAGGAAAACTGACAGCACATCTCTCTCTTTTAACTCAAGTTCCACCTGGGCCGAGTTTGGCTTTTCTGAGAGCAAAGTCTCCCTTAGGTGGTTTAGGCTGTTGTCATCCTTGGTTCTGGCCTCGTCCAAATGCAGGACTTCTGGAGTTTCTTTTTCTGGTGGCTGCATCTTTTGATTTCTGAGGGGACAGGGATCAGTGTTAACCAGGGAGGCTGAGTGGTTGGGGCAGGACTGGGTCTCCCAAATGCCTTTAAGAGTCTCGGGAAAATCCTATATGCAGTTTGGGAGCTACGGTGTTGGGGATGGGGGTGGGGGAAGAAGCAGCAATGATTGGATATTCCTTCAACAGAGAAATGGCTTATGCTTGTGTCATCTCAAGGAATCCTTACTGTCACCTGTGAGCTCAAATATCATTGCCACCCCACACCTTCCAAGTGAGGAAACATTCAAGGAGACCGGATGCAGTGGCTCACGCCTGTAATCCCAGCACTTTGGGAGGCCAAGGCCGGTGGATCACTTGAGGCCAGATGTTTGAGACCAGTATGGCCAACATGGCAAAATTCCATCTCTACTAAAAATACAAAAATTAGCTGGACGTGATTGTGCCTGTCATTGCAGCGACTTGGGAGGCTGAAGCAGGAAAATGGCTTGAACCTGCAGGCAGAAGTTGCAGTGAGCTGAGATTGCACCATTGCACTCCAGCCTGGGCGACACAGAGAGAGACTCTGTCTCAAAAATAAATAAATGAAAGAGCCCAAGGATGCACATAACTGGGGTGTGCACTTTGGCCTCCTGACTCTGAGTCCCATGTTCTTTTCACCTAACCGCACTGTCTCTGGCCTTGCACTGTCATCCTACTCAGCACAGGTCCTTGTCACCACAGACCTCATCCCCTCACACCACTGCAGGAAATTTTTTTTTTTTTTTTTTTTTTTTTGAGACGGAGTTTCGCCCTTGTTACCCAGGCTGGAGTGCAATGGCGCGATCTCGGCTCACCGCAACCTCCGCCTCCTGGGTTCAGGCAATTCTCCTGCCTCAGCCTCCCGAGTAGCTGGGATTACAGGCATGCGCCACCATGCCCAGCTAATTTTTATATTTTTTTATTTTTTTTTATTTTATTTATTTATTTATTTTTGCATTTTAGGTTTTGGTAATTTTTGTATTTTTAGTAGAGACGGGGGTTTCACCTTGTTGACCAGGATGGTCTCGATCTCTTGACCTCATGATCCACCCGCCTCGGCCTCCCAAAGTGCTGGGATTACAGGTGTGAGCCACTGCGCCCGGCTTTTTTTTTTTTTTAATTTTTTTTATTTTTATTTTTTTTTTTTTTTAGGAAATTTCTAAATAATCTCTCTCCCTCTAGGTGTTTCCTTCTCCAAACCAGCCTATGCACAACCCCAGTCATGTTTCTAAAACCCCATCGTGTACACATCACTCCCCTCCCGCAACTACCTGCACTGGTTCCCACTGCCTACTTCCTTAACCTTCTAATGACCCCCAACTGTCTGTCCTCTCTCCAGGCTGGTTTTATTCAAGATACCCCTAGACTCCCTGGCCGTAGTGGAGGAACCCAGCAGTGGTAAGCTGTCTGCCCAGAGATTCTGCCTGGGTCGTAGGGGAAACAGGTGTGCTGTGCCTGTGGACGGCCACTCATCCCTGAGTTGACCTTGCTGAGGTGCGTGTATCCTGCCGGGGTGAGAGCGGCAAGCTCCCCTTCTGAATGGCTGCACTCCTCCAGGTCTTGGCTGCCTACTGTCCAGGGCCAAGGGGTGGTAATCAGGGACTGTTGCTGTTTCTGTTGTTGTTGTTGTTGTTTTGAGATGGAGTTTTGCTCTTGTTAGCCAGGCTGGAGTGCAATGGTGAGATCTTGGCTCACTGTAACCGCTGCCTCCCAGATTCAAGCGATTCTCCTGCCTCAGCCTCCTGAGTAGCTGGGATTACAGGCATGCACCACCACACCCTGCTAATTTTGTATTTTTAGTAGAGATAGGGTTTCTCCATCTTGGTCAGGCCGTGCTTGAACTCCCGACCTCAGGTGATCTGCCCGCCTTGGCCTCCCAAAGTGCTGGAATTACAGGTGTGAGCCACCGTATCCGGCCCTGTTGCTGGGTTTTTTAAACAGCTTTGGGTTCTCAAAGGACCCTGAAGGCTGAATTTTGCTGTCCCAAGGGTGGACAGCCATGATCCCTAAGTGACCCCTCTCTAGATTTCCCTCTGGGAAGGCAGGGCGTATACCCCTCAGAGACCACCCTATGTCCCAGGACCAGCTCCTCACCTGCTTGCCTGGATGCTCCTTCCCAGGAGGACCATGCTTATCATGACCACCACCGCCGCCAGGGCAAGGATGGAATGATTCCAGGGAGATGCTGTGGAGGGACACACAGGGCAGAGCCCTGAGGAGCAGCCAGGCACCTCTCGAGCCTGCTAACAGCTGGGGCCTGGGCTCAGATCCAGGTTATGGCATCAACTCTCCCATGCTGCGGAGGCCCTAATCAAGACTAGCCGCTTGCCCTGGGGCACTCCCAGTCTACTCTAAAGAAGCCCTAATCGAATGGAGAAGACAGTACTGCAGTTAAATAATAGTGGGGCAACAGGGGTGAAGGGCAGGGGAGAGGTGGGCCAAGATAAACTTTACAATCTTCAGTTTTGCCAGGGGCTGGCCCTCTGTGTAGCACAAGGAAAAGAAAGAAGGCTGGGCACAGTGGCTCACACCTATAATCCCAGCACTTCGGGAAGCCAAGGCAGGTGGATCACCTGAGGTCAGGAGTTTGAGACCAGCCTGGCCAACATGGTGAAACTTCATCTCTACTAAAAATACAAAAATAGAGGCTGGGTGTGATGGCTGTCACCTGTAATCCCAGCACTTTGGGAGGCTGAGGCAGGCAGATCATGAGGTCAGGAGATCGAGACCATCCTGGCTAAAACGGTAAAACCCCATCTCTACTAAAAATACAAAAAGCTGGATGTGGTGGCACACACCTGTAATCCCAGCTACTTGCGAGGCTGAGGCAGGAGAAAATCGCTTGAACCCGGGAGGCGGAGGTTGCAGTGAGCCGAGATCATGCCACCACACTCCAGCCTGAACGAGACTGTCTCAAAAACTAATAATAAAATAAAAATTAAAAAGTAATAAAATACAAAAATTAGCTGGATGTGGCGGTGTACCCCTGTAATCTCAGCTACTTGGGAGGCTGAAGCATGAGAATCACTTGAATCCAGGAGGCAGAGCTTGCAGTGAGCCAAGATCGCACCACTGCACTCCAGGCTGGGAACAGAGTGACTCTGCCTCCAAAAAAAGACAAAAGAAAAAAGAAAGAAGGCAGGGAGAGGGGTAGAAAGAATGGCAACTGCCCACAGAGAATACATAAAGCGGCTAAACTGAATGTGGATACTCAAGATTTCTCCATACTGTGCCAGAACGAAGCAGGGTCCAGCCCCAGAGCATTTGCATTTGCTGTCCTCCCTTCAGGAATGTTCTTCCCCCAAACAATCTGCATAGCTAATTCCTCAGCTTCCTGCCAGTCACCTTTCTGATGATAAAAATGTCACCTTTTTAGTGAGGCCTTCCTTGACCACATTACTACCCTTGCTGGGTACTTCCTATTCTCTTACTCTGTTTAATTTTTCTTTTTATTACTCATCACCAAGGCACTATGCATTTTAGTTGTTTGTTTTATTTATTTATTTTTAAACAGATTCTCACTCCATTGCCAGGCGCCAGGCTGGAGTGCAGTGGCGCAATCTCGGCTCACTGCAACCTCCGCCTCCTGGGTTCAAGCAATTCTCCTGCCTCAGCCTCCCGAGTAGCTGGGACGACAGGCTAGCGCTACCACGCCCAGCTAATTTTTTTGTATTTTTAGTAGAGACGGGGTTCACCATGTTGGCCAGGCTAGTCTCGATTTCTTGACCTCGTGATCCACTCGCCTCAGCCTCCCAAAGTGCTGGGATTACAGGTGTGAGCCACTGCGCCCGGCCTTAGTTGTTTATTTTTAATCCCCACTAGAATGTACGTTCCACGAAGGCAGAGATTTTTGTGTTTTATTCACTGTTGTCACCCCAGTGCTGACAATAGTGTCTGATACACAGTAGGAGCTTAATAAATGTTGTGATGGTTGGAGGGCTGCATAAATGAGCGACTACACCTGGAGAAAAGGAAAGGGGGAGGGTCCAGCCAGATCCCTCTGGGTACTAAGACACCCCAGATTGAGTTCCTGTCTTGCTGCCTGATGTGGAGGGGACAACAATGTCAAGGGCTTCAACCAAACTCTGCTGTGTGTTGAGGGGCACACCCCGACCCCTGCCGTTAATCTTTCACCACTTACCATCTTCCACACGGAAAAACCAAAGCATCTCTTCCAGCAGCTCCTGGGGCACCACAGTACCGGCTGGGGCTCCAGGAGTCCCCTGACTGTGCTCCATGCCCCTGTTCCTGGTGGTGTGAGCTGCTGGCAGTGAGGTCCTTAGGCCCCTTAACCCCAGCAGCTCTCCTGGCCTCCTCGGTTCTGGCCCCTGGGCAGAGAAGCCCTGAAGACCCCTGGAAACAAAGCAGAGAGCATGACCGGATATCCCCCCTGAGTTTGGTCTCCCTCTGTGCCCAAATCCAGATTTCCTCTGGCCCAAAGTTATGGGACCCAAACAACCTGACTCAGGAGCACGTGGAGCCTGAAGGGGCAGAGACTGTAGAAGTTTCAGTGACTCAAATTGTTTTTTCTGTTTGTTTTTTGAGACAGAGTCTTGGTCTGTTGCCCAGGCTGGAGTGCAATAGTGCAATTTTGGCTCACCACGACCTCCACCTCTTGAGTTCAAG